TGGTCCCTCAAATATAATTCTGAGTATATTTAGTCCCTTAAGTATATTAAAGTGGAGCACTTTTAGTCTCACTAACATAATGTGTTCAAAAACTAATGATGTTACCCAACTCTGATTCATGAAGCAAATCTTCTGCTCTGAAGCAAAATGTTTCCTCTCCTTTTATTGGATAACGCAAATTATCACTTTAATTTCTCATTTTTAGATAATGTCTTCTAAAATTTTGACCTTGAAAATATCCTCTTATATGCCAGTTTTCAATGAAAAAATAACATTGTATAACCGTTGTAAAAATAATAGCCGAAAAATATATAAAATTTATAATATATATATACATTTTGTATGTTAATATACAAAATTATACAAATTTTATATACTTTTTTTGCTACCAGATGTAAATAGATTCTGGCACGGGGTAAAAGTGATAATACAACCTCGTTATTCGTTTGCTTCAATAATATGCCTAGAAGTGATCCTTTCAGTTCTTTTTTTTAAAAAAGATTTAACTTTTCTTTGTGAAAAAATCAATCGAAATATTTAAATGTATATATATACAAAAAAATATAAAAAATTTATATATTTTTTTGACTATTATTTTTACAGCGGCTATACAATGTTACTTTCTCATTGAAAATTGGACACAGAAGGGGATATTTTCAAGGTCAAAATTTTAGAAGACATTATCTAAAAATGAGAAATTAAAGTGATAATTTGTGTTATCCAATAAAGGGAGAGGAAACATTTTACTTCACAACAGAAGATTTGCTTCATGAATCAGAGTTGGGTAACACCGTTAGTTTTTGAACATATTGTGTCTGTGAGACTAAAGATGCTCCACGTTAGCATACTTATTTGACTAAATATGCTCAGAGTTATATTTGAAGGACTAAAATAGACCTACCCTCAAAGATAAGGGACAATATTTGTCAAAAACTCTCAAAATTGAAAACGAAACAACAGCAGGTGACGCGGGAGAAATTTCGCATGTTTACGCTCACTAGGCGTGGTCTGACGTGAGGTGCGTTGTGCGTTTCGCGTAGCGACGTGAAGTTATTTTGTCTCATTTTTCGTCTTGGACTTGGTTATTTTCGTCTACGCTTTTATCCTACACCTATAAATAGTCATTAAACATAATTTTTACAGAACTTTTGACGAAAGGAGAGCACAGCCGCCGTGGAGGCCGAGTTTCATCTTTTCTTCCACCAAACTTTGTAACTTTTTTTGTTTCTTTGTATGATTTGTTGTTTGGCCACCATGTCTATGTGGAGCTAAATTTCACGTTCTAGGGTTGTGGTTCTTTCATGACTATTGTTATTCGAATATTGATTTTAATTTCTTAGTTTATTGATTTCGACGAGGACGTCACTAACTGTATATGGGCGGGCTGGAAGTAATGGAGGCTAGCATCTGGAGTCTTGTGTGACAAGAAAGTGCCACCGATACTCAAAGGTAAGTTTTATAGAGTTATGGTTAGACCGAGCATGTTGTATGGGGTAGAGTGTTGGCCGGTTAAGAACTCTCATATCGAGAAGATGAAGGTCACATGAGGATGTTGAGGTGAATGTGCAGGCACACTAGGATGGATAAGATTAGGAATGAAGTTATCCGGAAAAAGGTGGGTGTGGCCCCTGTGGATGGCAAGATGCGGAAAGCGAGGCTCAGATGGTTCGGGCACATGCGGAGGAGAAGCCTTGATGCTTCGGTGAGGAGGTGTGAGCGGTTGGCTGTGGTGGGTACGAGAAGAGGTAGAGGGCGGCCTAAGAAATATTGGGGAGAGGTGATCAGGCAGGACATGGCACGACAACGGATTTTCAAGGACATGGTCCTTGATAGGAAGGTTTGGAGGTCAAGCATTAGGGTTGTAGGCTAGAGGGTTGTCGAGCTTTTCCTACTTCATACAGGGGGTGAGGCGGGGTTGGATAAGGTTGATCTTAGATGGCTTGTGGTTAATATTGCTCCCACACTATCCTTTCTGTTTTTCTTAGCCCCGGTCTTTAATTACTGGTTACTGTTATTGCATGTCATCTATTTTTGGGTTTTTATGCTTCTGCTATTATTTCTACGGTTTCTGCTGACGTTACTGATTGATTGTCTCTTCTTGTTTTATTCCCGTCTTCCTGAGTCGAGGGTCTATCAGAAATAACCTCTCTGCCCCATCGGGGTCGGGGTAAGGTCTGCGTACACACTACCTCCCCAGACCCCACTTTGTGGGATTTTACTCGGTCGTTGTTGTTGTAGTTTATTGTATTAGTTTATGTATTCAATCCTGTACTTAATTATTTGATTGCTTGATCACCAATTAAATACTATTTACGAATCTAGAATTAAACTTGAATGTGGGAATTCTAGATTGCACATAGGATTGAGTAGAGCAAGTTCTTAAACCTGGGCATCGGGGAACAGATTCGCGGTTAGGATAGACATATACCTAACTACATTGCTTGGTTGGTGTACATGAATTATAAATGCGTTCTTGCTAGTTCTAACTCCATAGACATATAGACGTTAGGTTAGCTTGAATAGGCGAGTAAGAACTCGAAAGATTCTTATGAGTAATATTAACCCTGTCAACCAATAAGCTAGATGAATTAGTTAGTCAATTCAATTGAAGAATACAATGGGAATGTTAGATAGCCCATAACCCTGGATCGTTTTCAGTAGATTGATAAAATAAAAATCTGCTCTTCCTTTGCTCAGAGTTCATTATTTATTTTTTTTTAGTTTAATTACTTTAACATCATTAATTTTGAGTTTAATCCTTATTTAGATAATTAAGATAGTCTGATCTAGTTAATAGTTGATAACAAGTCTTTGTGGGTTCGACACTCTCTCTTATCACTTTATTATTTGACGACCGCGTATACTTGCGTGTGCGTTTGACCGCAACATAGGGTCTAGAAGAATAGTGCAATATTATATAACATGCACTTATTATATAACTTAATAGCCAGGTGCCAAGCTTGCTTATTAAGTATTTAACATGTAGTGAGTCTATTAATTGAATCACATGCAAACTGTGATTGCCAACAAGGATATATATCAAAAAGAAATATTTTAATTAGCACATATCTATTACTCTCTATGTTTCGATTTAAATAACAGATTTTGTTTATCGAGAGTAAAACTATACGAAGTTTGACCTATATTTTAAAATATATATTTTTATTATATTGACATAAGAAAAATTGTAATTTATAATACTTTTTGTATAGTATTTTATATATTTAAATTTTAATTTTTAAATATTAAGTTGAACTAACTTAATTTATCTTCAAAGTTTAATTAAATTGACTCTTTGAAATATGTCATTTAAATTGAAAGAGAGTTCTAGTTATGAAATAAATTAGATTAAGAATATCCCATGCTATTTCTGACGTATGCAGTGTCAGATCATGCTATTTTTATTACTACTAAAGTGCACTCTGTATAGTCTAATAGCATCTCTTAGTAGCTATATTAAAAATAAACTTTATTTTGGACGGATTCACTTTAATTCTAACATGCATCTCCCGTATCAACAGATCTAAATCAGGTCAACTCATTAATTAATAGAGAAAACTAGGAATCACATTTATTGCATTAATGCTTCATCTTAAAATTTACGCTAAAACTTTACTCCTTCCGATCCACGTGACCAGTTTGCTTTAGACACGCCCATTAAGAAAATACTAAATTCTATATAAAAATACCTAGTATGATTAAACTACCCTTAATTAAATATTGGTCACATAGTTATAGTAGATTTAATGTGAGGAGTAAGAAAACTTTTTAGGGATATGCCCTTAAGGGTAAAAGAGTAAAAACAAATTGATTTTTTTTTTTGATTACATAAATGGACACTTATTTTGGATCAAAATAAAAAAGCAAATTGGTCACTTATTGTGGACCGGATGAAGTAAATATCTAAATAGACTCTTTTAGTTTTTGGTAAATTTTTCATGTGACACATAATTTTGCGTCACCCATTGATTTTGTACCTTCTTTTAAAAAAAAGTTTAACGGATACCTATTATTTGAATAACTTCATATACATGCACTTTGCTCTTCTTATTGTTGTTTTGTTCTTTTTTGTGCTTAGAGTTACCTCTTCTTCTTAGTTGTAAAATGAGTTTATTAAATTATTTACCGTTTTGATAATTTGATGATTGAGATTTGTTCTTTATGATATTTGAAAGTTATATTTAAAATTCGAGCTCATTTGGGCATTGAATCATTTATTGGATTGTAGAAATTCAAAGAACAAGTTTATATTTCAGAACTTAAGATTTGAAATCTGAAGTTGCATTCAATAGATTGAACTACTTAGGATTCGAATTTCTGAAATTGCATTTGAATAATAGAAGAAATTCAGATTTGATTTATGAAGTTGTACTGAAGAGATTCAACTACTTATGAATCGATTTTATGAAGTTACATTTTAACGATAGAAAAATTTCAGATTTGATTTCTGCAGTTACATTTTGACAAGAGGGGTTGCTCTGATGATAAGCAACCTCCACTTCCAACTAAGAGGTTGTGAGTTCGAGTCACCCCAAGAGCAAGGTGGAGAGTCTTGGAGGGAAGGATGCCGAGGGTCTATTGAAAACAACCTCTCTAGCTCATGGTAGGGGTAGGGTCTGCGTACATACTACCCTCCCCAGACCCCACTAGTAGGATTATACTGGGTTGTTGTTGTTGTTGTTGTTGTTGTTATTGAAGAGATAGAAATCCGAGCAAATACACTTTTGCAAAAATTTATACAATGCAGGTATAACTTCAATGATGGTCACAAAAGTAGGTATATATGAAAATGCCCCTAATTTTTTTTGGAGATGGAGAAGAGAACATTACTCTAAATCAGATATTTTATAATATAAATAAAGATGATGACCTGCTCAAGATTTGTGTATTTATGAAATATTAATTGAAAATTAGTAAATAATAGTCTGTGCTAGAGATCTGGTTTACATACATTGTAACTCTATATAACACAATACTTGAAAAGCAATCAGATACTTACACAAAAACATTCATAAAACGTGAAGTAACTTCATAGAATGGCATTGTTAAAGCTTGGTTTCTTTGTAGCTATCCTTCTGATGGCAGCTACAAGTTAGTATCCATCATTTTGTCTCTATCTATTAATTTTTACATCGTTATGATGGGCTAAATATGTACATGTAGATGTGTGTGACTCTGACATATTCATATCTATGCAAGGCTATGTATGTACTTCTACGCATATTGTTTGAATGTGAATTTTATGTAATAATAATTCATAAATTTTTTTTTTTGGTGAAATATCTCAGTCAAAGCTGCACCAAATGTTGATCTTGATGTCTCAAAGATGGCGAGAAGACTACTTCCACAACTTAATACTTGTTTGAGATCTTGTGAAAATAACAGTGGTTGTAGTGATTGTTGGGTTTGCTGTACCTGCAAAGACTTTTTTGGAGCTATTACATTCATGTGTCAGGCATAGATTTCACAAGTGTAGTACGTTGAAATCATATAACAATAAACTCAGCAGCAAATCTGTTTAATGCATTTATGTTTTAGTGTGATTTCAATGTTTTTTTTTCTTTTGTTTGTCGTCTTTAATAATTTTACGAATAATGAAGAAAGTGAGGTATTTACTTTCTATTCAAAAATAAATGAATTTTCACACTGAACGCCAGTTGAGCTAATATATTTTAGTACTTTAATCATCACCATACATAAAGTAGATTTATTTATGAATTAAGCGCATTTATAATTTATATTCGAATCATTTTTCTTGTATTCATGGTTCCCTTTACATTGACTTTTCTTTAATACAATGTGGTTCCAACTTTTTGGCAGTTTATGTCAACAAATTATTTAATTTTTTACAAAATGAACTTATATAATTAGTGTAGACAATAAATTGTGTCGAGAAAATAAAATCGAGATCGGAAAATATTGTAACAATCGTAGTATTTTATTTCAAATATTTGAGTGTTACAATCTCTATGAATCCTCTGATTCTAGTTTTCAACAGTAAATAAAAGAGCCTTCGAGCTTAATCTTGAATTTTATTTTATTTTAATCCAAGTGCTTGAGGCCTGATCTTGATCTTGATGTATTTTTAATCCAAGGGCTTGCAACTTGTTCTTGAATCTTCGTCTTGATCTTTTAATCCTTAGAACACTTGAATGCTTGTAGCTTTTAGAGAAATCTGCAGCGTTTGATCCACGAGCTCCCTCTTGCTTCTTGTTATAACTTCTGGTGTCTTCTGAGTTATGAAGACCCCTATTTATAGTTGTGGGAGGGAAGGGTTTTGATAGAACAAACTCTTTCCGACCAATCAAATTGAAGTGTGACAAGGCCGTATTTGATTGGCCGGAACATGTTATTTACACACGTGGCGCGGTTTTATTGACCTTTTAATTTGGCTTGGCATGCTTTGTCATTTTGACACGTGGCACGATCCTATTGGCTCTTTGGTTTGACTTGGCGTGCCACATAATTTGACACGTGGCACCAAACTGGGCCTCTAGGAAGATGACATCTTGGGCTTAATGAAGTGGGTTCATCATTTTAGCCCAATTAAATGGGTTAGCCCAATGGATTAAGACTTATTTAGTTAATCCATATATATTGGACTTATACAATTAATTCAATTATATTAGCCCATAGTATTTATTTGGACCAATATATCTTGAATTTAGAATATAATCCAAACTATTTTATGAATTTAATTTTAATAAAATTTATATGCCTCCAAATGCCCTCTACTTTAAGACTTGTCGGGGTGTAGATTTGTTGCACTTCCAAGACGGGGCTTGAAGTATAATATCTTTCTTTCCAAGATCCCTTTTTTTTTTGTCCATGCACTACTTCAGAGTAATTATTCCCAAGAGTAGTGTGACATAACTTTGTCAAGTAAGCTTGCACGAGTATCCTTGCTTATTCATGGGGATATACTGCCAAAAGAACCATTTAAGAGTTTCTTGGACCTCCTTAGCTATATTTTTTTTAACCAAGAAGATATCTTCTTTCTCAAATGTCTGACATTTTCCATTCAAAAAAATGACATACAATATTAAGTACTTCATTCGTGTGAATACCATGAGGTATTTAATCATGGAGTGATTTTTCATGTGAAAAATTTAATGGCCACAAACAAAGTGGAGTACTACTTTTCCATGTAGTCACGTGGGCCTCCACAAATTCTTTGACCATTTTGACTTAAATAAGGACTTGTGACACCTCTTCATCCTTTCAGTTGAACTAGGATACCTAATCCTTCTTGGACTCCTATAACTGCCACAGTTTAAATCTCATTAGGACTTAAAGCACCTCCAGTATTTATTTATAAATAGGGATCCGGTAGAAGGCTTAGAGCCCAGAAACGGTAAACATGATACGTACTTAGTCGAGACCTCAAATCATGTCAAACAATATCAAAAACATGAATTGCAATCCAATTCAAGGTTAATGAAAACTAATGAATTTTCAACTTCTATAATCGATACCGAAACTTATCAAACTAACTCCGATTGAACTCAAATTTTACACACAAGTCATAAATTGCATAATAGACCTATTCCAACTTTCAAAATCAAAAGCCGAGTCCGATAACCATAAAATCCACTATCGGTCAAACTTCTCAACTCTCCAAACTTCTATTTTTTCAACTTTCGCCAATTCAAGCCAAAATCATCTACGGACATCCAAATCAATATTCGCACACACTCCTAAGTCCAAAATCATCATACGGAGCTATCATAACCATCAAAACTCTATTCCGAAGCCATTTACACATAAGTCAATATCCGGTCAACTCTTTCAACTTAGGCTTTAAACCTTGGGACTAAGTGTCCCAACTCATTCCGAAACATCCCCGGAACCGAACCAACTACCTCGGAAAGTCACATAATAACAAGTGAGCATAGAATAAGCAATAAACGGGAAAACGAGACTGTAATACTCAAAACGACTGACCGTGTCATTACAATACTACCTCAAATCATAATCCATCTTTGTAGCACCTGAACGGATAAACTGCCACCAACTCTGATCCTCCAAAAAGATCATCTCACTCGAGCCATCAACATTGGAATTATCATTTCAACTCTGAAGCCTCCATATATCATCATCTCTGATAACCGCTGCTTAGGCACCATTCCACAACACCCTGCCTCGAAAGCAATTCAAAGTAGACCATAACACCGATGAGCCTTAATGCGTTTCAACAAGGACGACGACACCACACCGCAATGAGAATTCCACCATGTTTGAAATATCAAGTCTCACTACTCCATCAACCAAATCCTGAACATCCATAGTCCAATTGCCTTTCCTCCGCCTGAATTAAATGCTGAACCTTTAAACCATGAACCAAATAATCCTCCTCTCGATTCATTCACTATTGCGACACATAACTAAGCATCCTACCATTTACACCAGTACTGCCCAATATCATAGCATGAACATCACAATACACTATGCATAGCCTCAAAACCGCAGGCAGCAATAACACAAGGTTGAAATGACAGAACACCTCTCCACAAGGTGACGATGATAGTCCGCCCTAATATACAGGGAAACATATCCTGCACCACATCTACAACACCACTACAACTCCTCGATGCCCGATGGATAACAAGTGCTCAACTTCATATAAGAATAAGTAGGAAGAAAATGAAGACATAAGCTTCAATGAAATCAAATCACACGATGAGGAATCAAGAAAGAGAAGTTCTCCTAACAGCCCAGTAGCCTTTCGAAGATATGTACATACATCTCCATACCAATACGCAAGACTCTACTAGACTTGATCATGATCCATGAGACCCAAGTGAACTTAGAGATCTGATACCAAGTTGTCACGAATTAATTCCCGATATAGGTCGTGATGGCGCCCAACGCTGCCGTTAGGCAAGGCAATAGTAAACTATCAACTTACTTATTCATTTTATTACTTTTGAAATCATGAATTTTATTAAATAAAGAAATTAATGCATTGAAAATCATGGATAAATGCGATATTAGTAAGATATAAAATAAAAAGGTGATAATATTTAAGCAAAACCATTAACATCTACTAGAATATCCCAAAATCCGCTGTTACAAGTGCATGAGTATATACTAAGGAGTACAATAATAATACAATATCTGTCTGAAATGTGAATTAAATAGGATAAAGTAAATAAATATGATGGAGACTCTCTAGGCTGCGATACGTAGTATGGAATGCAGCTCACCATAAAGTCCCCTCTGTAGCTGCGCCTAAATGCCAAGATGACCACTAAATGAACCTGTCAGATCCTGCACAATTAGTACTGATGTATAGTATGAGTACGTAAATCAACACGTACCCAGTAATTATCTAGCCTAACTCTAGAGAAGTAGTGATAATGGGTCGATATCGACACTTACTAGTGATCTAATAAATAAGATGCAGGAATCGTAAGCAGGCATGAAATACAACGGGATCAATTAAATAAGGAACAACAGGTAACGAAATCCGTTAACAAAATATCATCTGGTAAAAATTCCCAAGTACCACATGCTATCTCAACAAATAAGAATGATCAATTAAATATCCGATCTCAGGTCATAAAGAGAATATCATGAAATTTCCAAGTTCAATCAAGAGGGTAATCTCGTAGGTATTCAGACTCCTAGCGATTTTACGCACGAATTATACTTAGGTCGTTTGGCCAGATCCATATAGTCATTTACATACACTATCGGGGTTGTACGGACCGATCCATGGATGCATATGATATATACATATACTGCCGAGGCGTTCGACTCGATGCCCATAAAGAGAAGAAACTTATCGAATTAAGACTCACGTGTTTACTATACAGAGGTCAGATATGTAATGTAAACATGATATTTACCATCAATTGGTTATCTTGCCAAATATTGAGATTCGATCTAACATGATCTCTATCAACTTTCACTTATAGTCTTTAAGTAATTAAACTAACAATTAAATTCAAGTAATATAATTTATTGAATGGTAAAGTCCTAGGTCTACCCAGGCATATATATGAATCTAGCTACGTATGGACTCTCGTCACCTCGTGTATACGTAGCCTCCACAACAAGTAGCAGTAATCAAATACATTACCTAGGGGTAGTTTCCCCTTCACAAGGTTAGACATGAGACTTACCTCGTTTCGAAGTTCCATAACCAGCTCCAACACCTCAACCAATGCCCATCAATCCAAAACTAGTTAAGAAACGTGCAAATCAATCAAAATATACTTCAATGCTTATAATATAACAATTTATAACAATACCAACTCTGCTCGAAAAGTCAACCCTCAGGCCCACGTGCCTGGATTCCAAAATTTTAGAAAATAAACATTAACCGTAACACCACAAACTCAAATATGTTATTTATTCCTAATTCCATGTCCGATTTTGTGATCAAAATAAAAAAATACAATTTCTAGGTTTTTCTCAAATTTTTCACTATTTCCACCAATTTCTATGTTCAAATCCATGTATAATCCATGTATAGTTCATGTATTTAACTCATAATGTGTAGAAATTACTTACCTAGTGAT